GGTACTTGTCTGCAGCCCAGTGGTGGGGACAACAGTTTTATAGCATCTACACTATCCCATGATGAAAGAAAGAGGCATAGACCAGGTGGCACTGTGAGTGCTTGGATGATTTAACAGCCCATGGAGGGGACTGAATTTCTGCGTAAGGGATTTGTTCATTCTCTCTGCAAGTCCACTGAGTTGTGATCTTCAAAGGGTCTATGTTACTTGTATTGTGCCCCATTTTTTCCCACCAGCTATAGCTTGGGATCTGGGTGAACGAAATAAATTGTCAGGGAAGGTTAAAGTATGCACCAATCTGTGCTGGTTCCTGTAGTCCCGTCATTTTTGGGTTTAGGGTTCAGTTTTGCTCAGTGCAATCAGAATCTAGATTGCTTACTGGAGGGCTAACCAATATCCCGTCCCACGCGGCAGGCTGGTTGGGAGGAGCAAGAGAACAGAAAGAGCGGAGGAAGGCGGGGAGTGATGTGTGAGGGCCCGGGGGAGGGTTGGCAATGAAGTGAAGCAAAGGGCCTCCAAAGAGGGAGGCCTCCCCCGACTGCGCGGGCTTCTTCCTTTTCCTGCATCCAGCCTGTGCAAACCTGATCCCCTCTCTGTCCTCCCAGGGAGAGCAGTCCCTCTGAGAGAGAGAATATGCTCTTCTCAGAACCCCATGTCATAAGTGAAGCTGAGTTTCTTTAAACACACACCATATGGCTGTGCCTCAGGATAAATAATTTAATTGTATTTCTGTCAACTCACCTCGTAAAGATGGTTTTAGGTCTGCGTAGCAGGAACACTTGTGAGAAAGAGGTGAAGTAATTGTTTTGAGATGTGTGTGGCAGCATCCAAGTTTGGGGAGGCCAGCGGGGGGATGGGAGCATTCCAAGGAAAAGCAAACATCAGGGTTTTCTCTTTTCAGGACCTTTGTTTCCCTTCACTCCGGAGGCCCCCAGAAAGGATCCTTCCTTATAGGGGTGCAGTTTTCAGTGTTGACTAGAAAGAAATACCATACAATCAATTAAATTTTGTCAATTCAACAATCCTTTCATTTGTTACAAGTTATCTTTCAGATACTATTTTGTTAAAAGAGTTCTTTGGGGTAGTTTATAACAGGATAGACTATCAACAAATAAGTGGAGGTAAGTAAAAATAGGTGTAAAAATGAAATAAATCCGAGACAAAGTTAAAATGCAAAGATGCATGCTAGGAGATCATGTACAGTGGCTACATGTACACCTAGACCTAAATTGGGTGCTAAATTTTCAAAGTCAAGAAGTAAATCAGTTGCTAAATTCGCAGCATCCATAAGACTAAAAAGGAAACTAAAAAAGGTACTAGTTGACTAGGGGAACACAACTACTACTGGTACTGAGACTCACGATAAATTTCTTCACTGTATGATGTGAGGAGCTACATTCATGAGAACAGCTTTACAATAAATGCAGCGGTCACTTTTATGCCGCTTCCTGTGATGTCCTCCTACAAGGACCATAATCTAATGCCACAGCTCAATTCTCTAAAAGCAAAGGGGCCGAGGAGTTTTGTTTCCACTTAGCATGTAGAAAGACCCAAGAGATTATCACCCTAAAAATGAAAAAAAGCCTGTAGTATTTTAAATGTTCTTAAGTTTTTTAATGCTGTGGTCACCAACCCCTGGGCTGTGGGCAGTACTGGTCCATAGCCCGTTAGGAACTGGGCCGTGCATCACAGCCGGAGCTCCACCCCCCACTACTGTCCATGGAAAA